TGGCTTGCCTGGGGGAGGGGGAACAAATGCTTCAAGGACATGCCAGGCAATCATGGCAAGATAGAAAGCGTAATGTAAGAGCGTGGTGAAAATATTGGGCTCAAGATGGGTACTGGAGTTCTCTAGGTTTGGCCGACTGCGGTAAGTCTCGAAAGAAGTAGGAGGAAGGCCGAGAAGATAGGCCCAAAGCAAGGTCATGACGATATAGGGAACCCGAAGTTCATCGCGTTTGAGGAGAGGGTACATGGTCCAGGATCCAAGCACGTTGGCCCAGCCGACCCAGGCGCGGCTTTCCTTGCTCAGTCCACCGTCACTGGCAAGTAGCAGTGTCATCGGAAGCAGAGGCAACAAAACACTCTTCTCATGCACCTGGAAGGAAAATAGGAAGAAGCCCCATGAGACACAGGATAGAGCAGGAAGGATAAGCGAAGCCCGGGGATGACGGAAAATGATGGCGCAGGGGATAATGATCGACCCTAGGGTAGCACCGAGAGATGCCCGCTGTAGCAGAGTAGCATCAAAGCGAGTGAGCTTATAGAACGTATGGATGGCACACCAAGCGTTGGCAACTTTGTCTTCGAAAAGGCCGCGCGCGAAGGGGAATACGCGGTGAATTATTTGTGTTAGCTGAAATAGCACCCCATAGAGTACAGAGCTTTTGTCAAGAGAGATAGGGATTGCCTGGATCAAGGGTGGCACAGGGGAAGATGCGAACACCTTTCGGGCTTCATCGTTAGAGGCACAGACCAGAAGCGGGCCTAGTAGCAATGCAAAAGTAGCCAACGTGACGAGGGAGATGTTGAGGAGACGTAAAATGCGAATTCGAGGGAAAACGCAGACGCCAAGGAGGTAGGCGAACATGACTGGGGCATAGTATAACGCCATCTGCTTGAATCCCAATGCACCCACAAAGAAGATGCAGGCCCACAGCATGCGCCCAGCCAATATAGCGTCCAAGCTCGCGACCACTAATCCTAGCATGACGGTATTATACTGGAAGTGGCCGTGGTCGATTAGAATATTGGCTGGCTGAAGGAGAACTGCCGCAAGAACAATTGAGGCGGACCAAGCGTGGACACCCTGCATCCGAGTGTAGCGGCGCAAGAAATTGACGACGGCGGGGATGAAAACCAAGTACTCGGATATGACGACAGTTGCACGCATATAAACCTTCAAACGGGGATCTTCAATGCCCCGGGAACTGTCTAGGGTGAACCATGCTGGTTCAACGGCGGAGCCACTAAACAGATCAACGGGTTAGCAGCGTCCAAGGAAATCCAACAATTGAATCAAACACCACATACATTTTGCCAAGTAACCAGCTGTGATACGCGGTCAATGGAGGGTAATCGAGGCCCCAGTATTGTAGGTCGTAAAGGTACCATTTGGCGATTGGAAGATGTGTGGTAATCTCCATCCAATGCCTTTGCGCTTCAAAATCACCGTGCATCGGGGGTACCTGGAAGCCTGCATAGTCTGTCAGTAAGCGTATCGCTTGCAGCTAGGAACCAGCTCCCATACCAGAGTATCCCCATAAGCTCACAGCCCAGCGGAACAGGCCAACGGTCATGAGAATAAGAGGGAGGACCAGCCATTGTGAGGCTCCTGCGCGTGCGCCCCAGAGGAAAGAGACTAGCGGGAATGCCGGGGACTGCTTTCCATCGCCCTTGTCCAATATGAGGTTATTGTTGGAGCCCGGGGAAGTCGCGAACTTTATCTTCTTGCGGGGCCGGTGTGAGGACGGCGTGTGAGGAGCCATCGCGATAGACGAGTAGCCTAGTGTACCATTGACTTAAATGAGGCCGTAAATGGGGATATAGAGAATCGACCTGTCAAGCCAAACATACAGGCACCAGGGACTGTGAGTCGTCCAAAAGGTACCCGTGAGGTCTCCACCGAACTAAATTTGTTCCGGCAGGCGGTGTAGTTCTGCCAGCCTCTGAAATTTTTTTTTTTTCGGCCGTCCTTATCAGAGCTGACGGTCCCCCAGAGCTGCTCTTTTTTTTCTTCTTCTTCATCCATCCTCTTCACTTTTTTGCTCTCCCCCCTCTCCTCTTAAGCAATCTTTCGGTTGCTTACTTCAATAACACCTTTTCCTTTACACTAACTAACGCAGTCGCGTGGGTTCTATTCGTAAGTTCAGACTTTCTGTGGGCATTGTCACTCTGAGGGCTGTGGGCTTTGTATACATCTATTCTGTGGGCTCTGTGGGACATCTTCCTCGTGGGTTACATATCATAGACAGTATTGGCTGTCAGTTGCTTGTGGGCTTGAAACATCGTGGGCTTGTGGGTTAACGTCCGGTTGTGATTAGATCACTCCTGGCAGTTCTTTTCTGAGGGCTGTTGTTGTCTATCCTTACACGGGTTTTCTGAGGGATCGTGGGCTTTGCCGCACATACTACAAGAAATTTTTACTTGTTATCTCAGTATGTGCCACCCTACCCAACCCAAGCTCCAAGCCCCAAGCCTCCCCTCCCATGAGACTTGCTTGTTATGAAGATCACCGGCTAACCTCTTCTTCCTCAATAGATCACAATGTCTAAGGCTACTAAGGTTTCCACCAAGGCTGAGAAGCCCTCCAAGACCGTCAACAAGGTCAAGGACGCTGCCGTTACCAAGGCCACCAAGGCCAAGACCGGCGCCAAGGAGGACAAGACCTCCAAGAAGAACAAGAAGAAGGAGCCTACCCCTAGCAGCTCCGAGTCCGAGTCCGACAGCGATGAGGATATGAAGGATGCTTCCAGCTCTAGCGAGTCTGAGTCCGAGTCTGAGGAGGAGAAGCCCGCCCCCAAGAAGACCGAGAAGAAGGCCGCCGCTAAGGCTGAGTCTTCTGACTCTTCCGACTCCTCCGAGTCCGAGTCCGAGTCCGAGGATGAGAAGCCCGCTCCCAAGAAGGCTGAGAAGAAGGTCGCTGCCAAGGAGGAGTCTTCCGACTCCTCCGACTCCTCCGACTCTGAGTCTGAGGATGAGAAGCCTGCCAAGAAGGACGCTAAGAAGGAGGAGTCCTCCGACTCTTCCGACTCTGAGTCCGAGTCCGAGGATGCCAAGAAGGCCGAGGTATGTGTCTTGCACTATCGTTCATTACAATCATGATGCTAACCCATATTCAGTCTTCCGACTCCGAGTCTGGTTCTGGCTCCGACAGCTCTGACTCCGAGTCTGAGTCTGAGAAGGAGACTGTCTCCAAGAAGCGCAAGGCTGATGACGAACCCGAGGCTGTTGCCAAGAAGTCCAAGACTGCTGATGCTCCCGAGGGTGCCTCCGCCAACCTCTTCGTCGGCAACCTCTCCTGGAACGTCGACGAGGAGTGGCTCCAGCGTGAGTTCTCCGAGTTCGGTGAGCTCTCCGGCTGCCGCATTGTCACCGACCGTGAGTCTGGCCGCTCCCGTGGCTTCGGCTACGTCGAGTTCACCAACGCTGCCGATGCCGCTAAGGCCATGGAGGCCAAGAAGGGTTCCGACCTCGACGGCCGTACCATCAACCTTGACTACGCCACTGGCCGCCAGAACAACCAGCAGGGTGGTGACCGTGTTCAAGCCCGTGCCCGTTCTTACGGTGACCAGACCAGCCCCGAGAGCGACACCCTCTTCGTTGGCAACCTTCCTTTCAGTGCCACTGAGGATGCTCTCCACGAGGTCTTCGGTGCCCAGGGCAGCGTCCTCGGCATCCGTCTGCCCACCGAGCAGGAGACCGGCCGCCCCAAGGGCTTCGGTTACGTTCAGTTCTCTTCCATTGAGGAGGCCAAGGCCGCCCACGGTGCCCTCCAGGGTGAGGAGATCGAGGGTCGTGCCATCCGTCTCGACTTCAGCACTCCCCGTCCCCAGGGTGGTGACCGTGGTGACCGTGGTGGCTTCGGCGGCCGTGGTGGTGGTCGCGGTGGTGGCCGTGGCGGCTTCGGTGGTCGCGGCGGCGGCGGTGGCTTCGGCGGCCGTGGAGGTGGTGGCCGTGGAGGTGGCCGTGGTGGCTTCGGCGGTGGCCGCGGCGGTGGCCTCAACAAGGGCAAGGGCAGCATCCCCGAGTTCAAGGGCACCAAGATGACCTTCTAAGCTCGTCAATTGTCTACTGCATACGTTTGAATTTTGCAACTAACGGTGTCAACGGTTCTTTGACTGGGAAACAAAAAGTTCGTGTTTAATTATGTGATAATAGGCTATTCGCTCAAGTATCTTCAATGTGATACAACATTTCAATGTTCATTTTCTTCTCTTTCTTGTAGTTTGTAGCGTGACCTTGGGAGTATACTGCCACCGGTGACCGCCCTCCCCGCAATCTTCTTTGTTTGCGCACATCACCACGTCTACGGATGTCGCACATGTCTGCATCTTTGCTTTCATTGATCTCTTGGGGATCGATTATCTCCTATTAAGACACTTTGGTTTCCGGAATTCCAGAATATGCTCTCCCCTTTGACACCTCTCACATCTTCTATCGGCCAACCCGGTCACGGGCCGCAAATCACCTGTTTGGTCTGCTGATCACCTCATCATTCGATTCCCAAGGTTGGTCTCCCTTCATGACCGCATCTTCCACCAAGTTCAACCTGGAACTATTGCAAAGCTTTGGCTCGACCTTTTTGGAAATATCTCTGGGCTTACCCTACCTGGGCAGAAGTTGAAGTCTTTGGGCATCAGTGGAGAGATCGTCAGCTCCACATTGATAAGATTATCGCATCCCCCACGTTGACCGCTCCTGTTGTACCCAGGTGGCCTGATCCCCTTCCTCTTTTATTTATTCCCCTCCCCTTCTTTTCTTTCAAATTCACCCTTTAGCCATGCAACCGAATCACTGCGACCTTCTGGGTCAGGTGCGTGAGCCCAGAGCCGCGAGTCGGATGACGCGCGATGGCCAGCCGCATCAAAGTGGTCAGCCCCAGCCATCCGGTGCACCCATGAGATCAGAGGGTATGTAGTCCTTTTTATAATCTGCCTGGTACCTCCCTACTCTGCAGGTCCGGTTTCAACATGCATATACACAGGTCGCTTTCACATCCTCAGCACAATGTACTCACTACGTTATTATATAGATTCATGGATCGATGTTTCGTCGCAGCCGTCATCGTCGTCCTTCTCATCGGCTGCTACCAACGATGATATAATAACCACCGGTCTACGAGTCGAGCAGGCAGAGGCGGGAGCATATCAACGCCGTAACCGTCGACGTCGTCTACAACATCTCGCTGCTATCACTACAGCCCAGGTGGCTTATTCATCACACGACGCCAGTCAAGCCAGCAGCAGCCAAGAGGAATATGAGGAGAGCGAAAGTGAATCCGACCGAGTACTCAGCAGCTCAAACGAAGAGATGCGCCGCCCAACCTTCCCAACTGCTTTACCGATGCCCTCTGAACCACCCTCGTCCGGCTCCGATGCTGCCTCCAGTGACGATGAAGATGATACCTCTACTGCTTTGGGAATGGGAATCAGCCCGTCTCCATTTGTCCCCCAACCCAACGTATTCACACACCCTCCAGCCACCTCGGACACATCGTGGTCTCGCCCTTCTGATGCTCGCCGTCATCAAGCCAGTGTATCCAACTCGAGCCGACAAACAGCGATTCGAAGAGAGTCATATCCCAGCTCACGGTCATCCCGAAGAAATCAATATCAGCACAGCCCTTACAATATGATCTCCCCCTCTCATCATGCAGATCACGATGCCGCCCTTCGCGCTAGCCTGTCAACCCTTCTATCATGTGCGGCTGCCGCACGAGGCTTGCCGAAGAACGACAATCAACCTTCAGCCTCACCGGCTGCTCCCCCATCCACTGCACAGCCCTCAGCATTCCGTCTTGTTGGCGAATCAGTAGTCATGGGAGAAGAGAGCGGCGACGAGGCAATTGGATCTTCCCCTCAGTACCCCCAGACAAGCCCGTCGATAGGGCCTCCAGGGAGGGACACACACCCACCGACAATTCCATCAAGCCCAGCTGTTGCCAAAGCAAAGCGTCGGTCAAGTTCACCCAAAGACCGCAGTGCTGCGAAGAAAAGCCGCCGCGCGACACTGGCAGATTCCACAACTCCTGTCAGCCCCACGATCATGACCTGGGTTATTAGTGCCGGTGTTGTGGTTTTATTCTCTGCGATAAGCTTTTCTGCAGGGTACATGCTCGGCCGTGAAGTTGGCCGAGCCGAGGTGGGCATGACGGGAGACAGTGTTCCTGGCCCCCGGTCATCGGCCGCGTGTGGCCAGGAAGCAGTCCGGGGCGGACTCCGAAAACTGCGCTGGGGAACTGCCGCAGCAGGAACTGCCAGTCTCGCATAAATGATGTGATGCCTTGTTATGCATGGCCAAAATGAATAAAACGAATTACGATGTTGCCATGATGTATTGTGGCACTCAGCCCGCATGCCTCCATTATCATGGTGTTTCACTGCTTTCTTTCATTGATATTCATCCTGCCTTCGTCCATTGGCAGATTGTCAAATGGCGGGGCGGTTATGTGAAGGGTCTTTCGTAGACCCTCGGTAATCAAAAATGGCGCCTATCTTTTTCTTGTGTTCTTGAACTAGGCGATTTTTGTCTTGAAGAAATGATGTTTTACGCCTAGTCTCGGTTGGATTTTCATGGTGTTTTCGATATGATTTTATGCAGTCTTTAACCTATACCCTCATTCTTTATCATACTATCCTGATCATTGAATGATTTCATGCCAAAATCGCAATCTGTTTACTTTGTTTCCACCTAAAGTCATCGCATATATTTCATATTCCAGTGATCATATCAGTCGCACTTGAGTTGGTTGCTGCAGGCCAATATTATAAGCCCCAGAGTAATTAACGAACCACGCAAACACATTTCCGGTCCCCACCGCGCTAAAGAGACTAAAATATACGAGCTTCGCAGGGCTATAAGCCCCGTTTGCTATTTCTAGTATGCAGCTACCTACGTGGTCATAATTGCTCATAAAGACCCTAAACAGATGCCTCACGCTAAAATATACGATTCTCGGCATTATCATTCTCGTCTTCAGCCAGTAACCTTGCAACATATAAAGCAATAAAAGAAAGATGTCCTCACATTTATATTCAAATCTAATCATCTCACGATGCGCCCATTCCATACTCTCTTTGCGTTCCAGATGGCAGTCTCCGGGGCGACTGCCTTGTCAAGCACAACAATCCCACTTGTATCCACTGAATTTGGAGCAGTATTCGATGCCCCGGTGAAGATAGGGAACCAAACCTTCCAACTCTTGGTCGACACCGGCAGCAGTGACACCTATGTCATGAAATTCGGCTATACCTGCATTAATGCAACAGACAACCTCGAAATCCCCCGGGGAGACTGCCTCTATTCAAACAAAACATACCACAAATCCAGCACATACAAGCGCATCCCAAACCAGATCTTCGGAATTCAATATGGAGCCGGTCTTGCAAGCGGCATCATGGCACTCGAAGACGTCTCAATAGGCGATGTCACCACCAAATGCCAGAAAATCGCTATCGCAGATCACTCCAACCCTATGGGCGACGAAGTCAGCAGCGGACTTCTCGGTCTGGCATATCCATCCATCACTTCCGCACACCCAGCGAACAAGACAGACAATACGACATTCTGGTTCAACCGTCTGCCATACAATCCATTGGTCAATACCATGCACCAGCAAGGACTGATCGAGCCATACTTCAGCCTTGCACTTTCACGAAGCCCCCAAAACAAATCTACGGCTTTCGGAGGATACCTGACTCTTGGCGGCCTTCCACCTGTCAACCACAGTCCCGAGTTCGCAGTAGTTCCAGCTGAGATAACAGAGACTCTCCCTCTAAATTATACATCCGGCAAAAGAGTACGTTCTTACTGGACGACTACAATCCGCGAAGTCACCTTCGGCCTCTCTCTCAACAATTTGACAACAAACTTGACTTCGTTCCAGGCATTCGTTGACTCGGGTAATTATCTTACCTACCTGCCATCTGCTGTTGTCGATCCTATCAATGCCCTATTCGATCCCTCTGCTACGTATAATCCGGAATATGAGGCATATATAGTTGATTGTGCCGCAAAAGCTCCTGAATTTGGATTGAAGATCGGTAACCAGACTTTCTTTCATAATGGATCGGATTTAATATTCCAGACTTCTGCTGGGGTTTGTATGTCTAGTCTTGTTTCTTCGGAGAGTGTCTCTATTGGTGATGTTACTTTGAATATTCTTGGTGTATCCTTTTTAAAGAATGTTGTTGCGGTTTTTGATTTTGGGAGAAATGAGATGAGGTTTGCGAAGCGTTTAAGCGGGAATGGGAATTCCACAGAGGGCAGTGGTATTGGAAGGGATGCTTCTTCTTTCTCGGCTGTGCTAGACTGATGCCTTCATTTTGGAACTTGAGTATCTTGGGATTGTTATTTGCGATGGTCATGCCTTTGGGTCATTGATTCAATTGCACTTTTATAAAAAGCCGCAAAGTGCCTTTCAATCCTTGGTCTTGGTGAATGTTTATACTCTTCAATCAATTGACGAATTAAATTCCATCTTGATCCATGCCTCTTCCATGTCTACGACAGGGGTCATGAAAGTGTATATATTGCCACCGACGAAGTATTGGACGGTCTACAGTCTCTATACGAAAGCCTCAAAGCGAGTATACCGTTTCATGCATTGTTTTCGCCCGACTTTGCCGTCTCTTTTTTGCACCCCTTTTTTGCCCATTTACGAGTACCTCGAGGTTGTTTAAAAACGGTATTTTACAAAGGCGGCGGTGTGAAATTACTTATGGCCTATGACTGTATTACTTCGGGCTCTGAGCTCTCCATAATTCTAAGTAACCTGAATGCCTCCTCTAGGCCACCACTAGTATCCACAATTCCAGAACCGACATCCTCCAATTTTACAATTTCCGACCCACAACCCTCAGAAACATCGTATGGAGCCAAAGATTGCACAACACTTGCTGCCATACTAGCATCCCAAAGACCATCACGGGTCGAAACCGAACAACCCTGAATGAGAGAAAGGGCCGTTTTCAGGATGCGGTGATTCCTGGTCTTCATGCAGATATAGTATAGCACAGCAATGATATTTGTTGACAATGTAAATTCTCGATCTGTGGAAGCAGAGTTGGACTCGGTGCACGAAGACAATAGTGTTTTGATTTTGGAGAGAGCGAGATCAAACCTGAGGTCGGCTTCAATTGCTATTTTCGACTTATCGGAAGAGATAAATATGTTCTCCAGTAAGGCTGCATGGAAAATCATCGCTTGGATATGTAGTAGCAGCACGCGCTGTTGTTGTTGGGGCTTTTGGACTTCTTCATGCGGCCCAAGAAACAGGTTCTCGATCCCACACTCTAATCGTAAAAACTGTTCCTCCAGTTGCTGCCTCTCATGTATGATATCCAAAGGAATCTGCTCTTGAGCCTTGTCTCTGTGCTCAAGCGAAGAAATGAGATGATGCATAAGCCAGTTTTGCATGACTGTTAGTGAATGTTCAGCATCAGACAAACGAATAAAAGAATCTGGCACAGTAGATGAAAATTCTGGGGCCTTTGCAAGGTTCAAGATGGGAGCTCGGTCATTACCAAAGATGCTGGCATGGATATCAAGTCGCGAGAAGACTGCCATCAGGTGCCCAAATTCTGGCGTAGAAACAACATCAGGATATTCATTCTGATACCGTTGCAAGAGAGTCAATCCTTGATCTAGATGCCAGATTGCTTGTTGTGAGTTGCCGACAAGGCATTCGAGGATGTAGAAGATGAGGCTGCAGATAAGGGCCACTTCGGGCGAAGCGTCACGCGATAAAAGATGGGTGCGTAATTGTTTGTGTGCTTTGGTGATGATTAAGATGTTCTGGTGGGATGCCCTAAGAGATGGGATTCTTCGCTGTAGGAAATCTTTGTATAAAGAACTGAGGGCGATAAGAGCGTTACGGATCACCGGTTGATGCTGCATACGCTGCATCATAAGGTCCATCCACAGTGTCGAGTCTGAGAATCTAGAGAGACTCCCAGATGCCTGACAGTGATAGAAATGAAGTAATTCTCGATCTGCTCGACTGCCAGGAACTTTGAAGGGGAGATTGTATATTGTGATCGCCGTTGGTTGGCGGATCGGGACAGAATAGCCAGGGCAGTTGCGGCCAGTGGAGACGCATTTTCGGCACTTGGGCCGCTGCTCATCGCATTTGATCCGACGTGTCCTGTTCCTCTTAGAGTTGCATTCTAATAAAATCTGGGTGACGTACTAACTTGCAGTTTGAGCACCCCGTGCGGACCTTGGGCATACTCCGGCGCAGTCTCTTGGTCAACATGTAGGGGTTGTTTGAATAAGGACAAAGCTAGGAACCTAGCAGCGCAAATTAGATCCTTGAAACAGTAATGGAAACAGCGCGAATTAAAAGTACTTTGCGGTTGACATCCCCTGTTAGATGCCGGTGGGGGCCAAAACACGCATATCAGGCTGAAACAATAATTGAAGGTCGAGTACCTTTCTATAAATATCTAACAGAAGAGATGGCAGTAGCCAAGGCAGCAAAATAACCAGGTCTCGACCAACTGGTCGTATTAATCAGTTCAAGCAAGTTATTGTGCTGTTTATATAATGAACAACCTAACCTGGTCAATTTAGTTAACTTAACGTTAGTTACTTACACGTAGACCTCCTGCATGCCTTATCCCTCGAATTTAAACGTTCTCTCTCTATCTCACCGGTCCCAACTATGTTTTAATGTCACCGTATCCATTTCCTTTGATGTCAAAATTAATATCCAGGGTACTTGGGGCTCTGTCCACGGCCCACGGAGTCCATGGGCAAGCTGATTAATAAGGGTTCCCTCCTACGTCTCAAATTTGAAGCCTGCAGAGGGTATCAACTTGGAATCCAGTTTATTCTCTGCCTCAGGTCCCCTGAAAACAAGTGTTCACCAGAACTGCTCTCGAAGACAAGCATGCCTCCGAAAGAGACACAATGACGTCTGCGCCTACCCGACGGAAGCATCTGAAGAGCCGCAGCGGCTGTACCCAATGCAAGAAGCGTAGAATAAAAAGCCGGCATGTCTGCTCCTTCTCTCTTCCTCCAGTTGTTGGTTCAAACTTCTCCACGATATCCCGTCTGGACCTTGAATTACTCCACAAATACACCACCAAAACTCCTCTCATGAAAGAAATAAAGGACCACTCTGCAGATGACGGGACACCTCCATTGGAGAGCGAGATTGTCTACCTTCGACTTCGTAATCTATCAAAAGCTATCGGGGAGCACTGTTCTGATGAGAGAATCGCTCAAATCTGCCAATCCTCGATTGAGACGCTCTGCTGCATCGTGGCTGAATTGAAACAATCAAGTGACCATGTCCTTGCATTCGTTTGGCCCATCAGAGTTGATCTAGACTATCTTATCATTCTCGAAGAGAAGAGACCAGAGGCATTATTGGTATTCGCTTACTACTGTGCTCTGCTCTACATGTCGAGCTCCAGATGGTGGACTAAGGAATGGCCACCACCAATCGTCGAATCCGTCAGAGACACGATTGATGAGGGGTGGGCCCCATGGCTCCAATGGCCCCTGCAGATGATTTTTTCCGATACCGGTGAACAGGTTGAGACTAGCGAAGGGCTACAAAATTTGGCACATTCGCTTTGATGTAGATATGATAGTTAATCCCTCTTATACCACACGCGTCAATGCCTTAAGTTTTGTGCCTTGAATATCAGAAGTCAATGCGGGGGTTTGGGCACCTCCAGCGGTGATTATTTCCTTTAGGGCAAACTTATAAAACATCATTGTTCCTCGGCAGCTATAACAGCCATTCCCACCTAAATTCGATCCAGGATGCGCGGAACATAACAATATATATGTATGCCCCGCATTCATCACATTTATTACAATGTTATTTTTTCAAGCATATCTTTACTAAGTGTTTGTCATCACTGAAGCCATCTGTCGGTGAAATATCCCGTCACAAATGCAAAGACTGCCTTATGGAGGATATCAATGACTTGCTCATTAACTGGCCACGTCCTGCAGCCCGTCAGCGCCAATTCCGAAAAATTATGTGTAAAGTAGAGCTAACTCACCAGGGAAGCGCCCCAACGCCGGTCATATTCTCCAGAGTCTGATCAATCAGAAGCCGTACAGAGATAAACATAAAGTCGGAAAACGGCCCGCGAAGACCATTGGCGCTCATAAGAGCTCTGATGATCGCCGCAGCTGCTCCCTGTCCGTAATGCATGGCCATGTTTAGCCCGAAGCGCTCTGAATCAGGTCGAGCGGGGAGCGACAGGAGGCGCTCAAGTGTATGTCCAGGGACGTACGAGCTAGGCCTACCGGTGAAGTGTTGTTCGATTTTTTCTCCGACCGTCATTCTGTCTGGATTAGGGCGTTGTTGCTTGGAAAGGATCGAGAACGACTTACGCGGCGACTCCAAGCAGTCCTGCTCCGCAGCCATAGATGATGCAGCTCCCCAGCGCGATGGGCCGAGAAGGCCGCTCAGGGACGGTAGGGCGACGAGACATGTTATGGTCCCGTTCTATATGGTGTGAATGTGGATAGTGATAGTCGTGACGGTAAACCTGGGAAGCAAGCTAAATCACTAACCTATGTCGTAGAGATGACGTACAACGTATTTCCCCAGCGAGCTGGCCACCCACGATGGAGAAGAAAGACAGGAAGGCTATGTACGAAGAGTTGCGGAGTTTCGTCATCACTAACAAAAGGTTAGTTGTTTTCGTTTTATCTTCACGCTCCTATCTTCTCAATTTCCTCATTTACCACCAGAAGCCCGTCAGGTCTAGTAACCACGATAACTAACGACTATTTTCCTCAGTACGAAATGGACCGAAACATTCCTGGGGGATTTGATGAAATTGCAGAAATAGGTAGCTTATAGAGTTGTATTCAATGCTCTTTTGACATGGGGATTCAACGTGGCTGGAAAGGGGAAAAGTAAATTTTGCGGAATGAAAATGCTGTAATAGCATCGTAAAGTGCATTCAAGAGACCATCTGCATTAGAGGATTGAACAACAGACTGCCGTGTTTCATGAAAGCTGCGGCACCGGTAAATCCAGAGAGCAGGGCCTCTCGGCAAGCGACGTACTCGGAAGCAACAAGGTTCATCCCGTCCCGGCGTGAAGTGAGGAGACAGACATCAGATACAAAGTACAGAGCTGTAAGCTCCTCAAAGGAGACTGAGCGGTGGATGTAAAGCAACAGTGTCGATTTTGGGGTAAATTGTTTTTTAACTTTAATGATACAAGCTTTGTATTATGGATCGGACTCACGAAGAGTGAAAGCAACAAATAGTTCCTGGAATACTAGGCTCTCGTCATGTTTCTGCCTAAGGCCCACGAATAGTAGAAAAATATCTATAAAAGGTAACTAGTTTAGAAGAAAAAAGAGTGAAAGTGGCCCATCCGAGCTCAGACCCAAGTCCTCCAGCAATTATACATTGGGATCGATCTGAAGGGAAAACGGCCCCAAACCTATAACGGAGGTTTGTTCCAAACTGGTGGACAGCCAAAGGAACCAAATTGCCAAACAGGTTCACTCAGACTGAGCATGATAGTCAGAAAGAATAGCCTCGGAGATCTTCTCAGCCATTCCATAAAAGACGGTCATGACATGAGAGGATAACTGAGTTGGAGGGATTGAGCCATCGATGACACGAAGGCCCTCAACATCATAGACACGGGCGGCCGCGTCCACGACACCACCTAGCTCTTTCGTCATCATAGAACATGTACCAACACCGTGGTAGTTGGCACGGAAGTTCTGCTTGACATAGTCCACCCAGTCGTCGAGAGTAGCATTGTACGCTAGGTTGTTTCCAGGAATAGTCTCGCCGTCAAAATATTGGGTCATTTCACCCGTGTTGGAAAGATCACGAGCTAGCTTTGAGGCAGCAGCTTGTCCGAGAAGGTCAAGTTCATTCAGGAAGTACTGGGGATCGTATGCAAAGCGACGCAGATAGGGGTCACTGTCCAAGATGTGCACATATCCGCGTGTGAAAGGAAGCAGATCCCATAGGTCAAAGCTCAGCTTGCCAGCAGTATCAAGGAAAAGCTCGGAAAAGGAGACATCTGTGCTGAGAATCCAGTCACGGTAGTTCCGATATTGGACCAGGAGTGCAGTTTCATTGTGGAAGCCACCACGGGAGACAACATCTTTTGCCCATTCCTCAAGCTTGGTGTTCAGCAGATGATGAGCACGAGGAGCATCGTCTCCGAACGTTTCGTTGAAGGTTGCAAAATAGGCAGCCTGGCCTTGTCCCTCGCCACTTGGCTTGATACTAGATCGGACAGTCGTGGTAGTTTGGTCTTGAAGGTTGAGTCCTACTGGCAGGTCAACAAGCTGATCGATGCCAACCTTATCGAGGGCAGACTTCAAGCCAATGCCAGAATGCTCAAGGATTTGTGGAGAGACAGTAGAGCCAGCGGCCAAAAGTACCTCGCGTCGGGCGTAGACATCAAAGTTGACATTCTTATGGGTTCCAAAGTTCACTCCAGTGGCCTTGGGGGTGGATGATTTGTTGTTGAATAACACTCGTCCCACCATCTGACCAGTCAAGACCTTGAGGTTTGTCCGCTTGTAGTTCGGAAGAAGCCACTCGCGGGCAGCATCTGACCGAGTTTGATCCTCATGCAAGCTGTTAAGAAGCATCGAGATACCGTGAGGGATACCACAGCCTAGATCCTTCTGAACAGGAACACCCAAAGCTTCTCCAGTATTCATGAGACTTTTGATCATTGGAGAGAAGCTCTCTCCCGTGTCGCGGGCACCAACATGAACAGTGCCATTCATGCCATGACAACTGGCATCAAAGTGGTGTCCGGCAGCAATCTGCTCAGGGCTCGGGGAACGGGATTTTTCGATCTTCTTCATGTACGGAAGCAGACTGTCCCAATTCCATCCGTCCATCCCAAACACACTTTCCCAAGAATCAAGCTGTGCTTTGTGTGGGCGTGTCCAGGAACCTCCATTCACCAAGGTTGATCCTCCCAGCCCATTTCCTGATCTAATGAGCTCAGTCCGGTTGTGAATCGCAAGCGGAACCGTTTCGTAACTGTGATCGGCGGAAGTACCAAAGGCATCGCCGTATTCGTTGAGGTCTTCAATGATGGGGCCTTTGTTCGATTCGTAGAAACCGCTTTCTATAACGAGGACCGTGATGTTGGGGTTTTCAGTGAGTCGGGCTGCAACAGTCAAACCAGTCAAGCCTCCGCCAGCAACAACATAGTCGAAAGTTGTGCCAGCTATCTTTGTTGGATCGGTGAGGAGGCTAGACTGGAGGTCTAAATCCTTATATGGAAGAGCGGCCGCGGCGAGAATGAGCCCGGGAAGTAGGGCAAGGGTCTTCATCTCGGAAGAGGTCACAGATTGAAGTAAAAGATAACCTAGCGAGGAAAGGGGGGACTGGATGAGTTACAGAGAAGAGCATAGTTTCTTCCTGAGAGGATGGATATTCAGGCCCCTTTATATCTACATCCATCCGAACGCAACAAATTAGAGTTGGCTCCAACTATAGCAACACATATGCATACGCATGGTCAAATCCATTGGCCCACGTATGGACAAAGTCATACCAGGCTGTTGAGACCATTTCTCATTACTGATAGAAGTGAAGGAGATAGAAGCCTTGGCGCCCAGGATGGCAAACCCCAAGGTTCGCCAACGGTGGACGAGAATCATATCCACCCTGAAGTATGTTTTTTACCCCATTGATCGTGTCGGTGAATGCAACTCAAGCATGGCAACCGAGATTTGATCCTTTCTCGTATACTTTAATTGTGAAATGATGCATCTGGCGCCCTACTATCCCGCGTTGACGGCGCTACTTTCACAGGTTTGCCGTTCTTCCTCGATGTCACGTTGTGCAACCAGGTATCGGCCCATGAACACATGGGTAGATCGGCATGCCGAATACCTTCACGGCATACCGAACAATGATCGCCAAGTCAGCCAAGATGGAAAATGAGGTACACATCCTGAGTACCGTCAGTGCCAAGCGGTGGGCGGGTCAACGGATGTCGGTTCCACCACCATAAAGATTGCTCAATCTGGCTTAATCTTGGCGCTCCCCTGACTATGGAGCCAACCAGCTACGCCAACGACACTCGTGCTTCTGCAGACATTCGGTCCGAGGTAGCATCATCCTCGTATCCACCGGTCAGACCTTGCAGATCATCCTTAGAGTTTACACCGAGGACAATTGAGGGACGCCGTTCTAGAGTTGTTCTGCTTTGAAATGACACCTAGCCAGTGAAATACCCCTATGCTGAATAAAATAGTAGACAATCTAGATCGAATTTGCTGACAACACCCAGAAGTCTGCCTAGAAAGTAATCCGAGGTGGCGTTAACAGCAATTTTCAAGGTCCAAGCGATCTCCCACTTAGTACATCCATGCCTGCTCACTTCTTTGATGCGTTTTTCTTGACTTCATTCTCCCTCCAATTCTTTCCACAATCAACAACGACTTGTCAAAATGCATCTCGCTGTCCTGTTTACAGCATTTTCGGGTGCAATTTCGGCGGCTACCCATATATATGCGGCATCCTATGCAGGCACTGTGACTACTCTGTCTTCACAGAGCAAGAATGGAAGCTATTCGCTGTCAAAGGTTGCCCAGTCTAATGACTGTGGTATCAGTCCATCATGGTTGATGTTAGATAGTGAGCACAACTTGATGCTCTGTCTCAATGAAGGAATAGGGGCTGCAAATGGCAGTCTTACTTCCTTCAGAACAAATTCCAATGGGTCTCTGGCCACGCTGGATGTCCTTGAAACTCTTACCGGTCCCGTCATGTCGTCTGTCTACACCATGCCTAGCAACCCTCAGCAGCGATTTGTTGCCGTTGCACACTAGTGAGTATCGCTCGAAGATTACTCAAAATTGAACATTCGAAGTCATGCTAATGTGACTGGATGTTTTAGCGAAGCGTCCGCAGTCACAGCCTATACATGGAATTCCTCAACCGGTCACTTAGCCCGAACTCAGACTTTCACATATCAAATGCCTGCCCCTGGTCCAGTGCCCGACCGACAAGACGCTTCTCATCCACATGGTGCCATCGTCGACCCGACCGGTCGCTTTGTGCTGGTTCCTGACTTGGGCATGGATCGGATCCATATATTCAAGATCTCTCCGTCAAATGGCCGCCTTCAGCCCCAGGCGCCGTTGCTAGTAAAGCCTGGGTCTGGTCCGCGACATGCTGTGTTCTGGACACCTAGCTCAAAGGCTGTATCTATTGATGATACTGTGATGTATCTTGTCTCCGAGCTAGATAATACCTTGAGTGCATTCAAAGTCCGATATACCCGGAATGGCCTGGGCTTTACCAATATTTTTGAGGAGAACACATATGGTGGAGAGGCTGCACCCGATGGCTCGAAGGCATCTGGAATTCAGATTACGGTACGTTCAACTTCATGTGCAGTATTATCTTCGATATCGAATCTAACAATCAACATTTTCAAGCCTGGAAATGACCATATTGTGGTCTCAAACCGCGGCGATGCTACTTTTGGCAAGCAAATTGACTCATTTGCTGTCTTCAAATGTGCTCGGTTCCACGGAAGCGATGCCACGAATGTCTCATTTGTCGGCTTGTTTCCTGCGTATGGGTCCTTCCCCCGAGAATTTGATATCAATGGTAATAATGGAAACGTTGCTGTGGCCTTGCAAAACAGCCATGAGGTTGCTTTGACTGAAGGTAATGCACAAACTGGTGGCCCAGGAAAGCTTCTCAGCAAAAAGACCTTAGATGGGGAAATTCCTATCGCAATCTGGGGTCCCTGAAGATAGCCGGCCGGGATTTGTATGTAGCAATTATGGAGCTGTGGCCCTAGGGAAGGGTTGGTTCAAGTAACATATAAATATCCAGAGTACAACGCACTTGATGGAGGATCTTTTGTAGAGGAAAGAAGAACTTTGGGATCGCCTTTGAAGACAACTCCAACATTCTGTGATTCATTGCTGCTATTTCTAGTTGCTTGTATTGCAACATCCAAGATAAATAAATCATACAAAATTATAGTTGTCGTCCGCCGATCCAATTAGCCAAGTTCGCAGCTCTTGGAAAGCGTCGAGATCGTTCTTTCCCAACGAGACATCGACAGAAGGGTCATGCCACTGGTGGGTTCTTTTCGTCTTGGTAGTGCTCAAAGTCTCCTCAATATAGCGGCAGCTATCGAAATAAATAAGAAGAAGTGTGCCGTCTTTGTCAAACATAATATTTGCAGGATTGATGTCGTTATGCACAATGCCGAGCGATGTCTTCATCTACGGGCGAGATTCGCGAGCCTCAAGACGAGCCTGACTCCGAATCGACACATTTACTACATAATTGTAACACAAGAGTCTTGCCTCTCATTTTTATATCTTGATCAAACTGAGACTTGAGGTTTCCGTAGGACTCAGCTTAGTTTTGGTCCATTATAGAACCCGGGGTCGTAGTGGGCTTGTTGACCTATTCCCGATTTAGGCGTTTCCACCACTACCAGCAGCACCGTATCCAATGAGTTGTGCAAAATGGTTTAAAAGCAAACAAGGAAACAAGGAATGGGACAGGGTTTGAAATATATATATCTTGAAATGCGAGGAGAGCAGGCTTACACAGGCTGCGATCGTGATACATACCCGTCTCCTAAATCATATACGGGATCTTCTAGAAGGAATTTATGTATCTTCTGGGCCCAGACTTACTCAAGGCGCACGAGATCTGTTGCCTCCGGTATGTACCTCGAGTTCAGTGCTGCTATCTGATACTCAAGCTCTCTGCCAACTTTAAACGGAACCGGGGGAGGGGTCCCTACCGGAGATCAATCGCGGATCCAAGCGGGTATACGTTTTCTATTTGCTCGTCTATTTGCGCTATGTACCTAGATGGCACTAGTTGGCCAATCATGCCATATGTTTTTCCCCGGATGAATTCTGTAACATGGGTGGGATGAACTGCCTTGTGTGGCACGTGACTTACGGCTGGTTCAGAAAGGCAAAAGCCGGGAACGCGCCAAGAAAGGGCAATCCGCACCAACCAGCAGGCGCACAAAGCCAGCTGAGTCAGGATCCGTGGTGTGGCGCGGGTAACACATGGGGGAATCGGCCGGGGCTTACCCGCGGGTAAGAGCTACTCCGGCCACCCCACACTTGTCTAATAGCGAAAGCAGCCGCCACTCGGCTGTTGGGGCTGACCGATGCACGAAACAGCGCTCGATCATTCACTCGATCAACCCGTTCGGCAGGTGGCGACGGTATTTTTTTGGGGTTGGCACCGTTGGATCTCCCCCGCAAGGTTAGCCAGCCGACCGATATGCCGTCGCTGTCCGTGTATATAGACCTCCAGGGTCTCTCTGGATTTTCTGAGGTTCTCATTCTCATACACACTCACATCTGACACCATGCCTCGCCAATTCGACCCCAACTTCACCCCCTCCGTCATCAACGGCATGGGCCCCAAGACCCCCGAGCGTGCTCGCGTGGTCTTGGGCTCTCTCATCAAGCACATCCACGACTTCGCTCGTGAGGTTGAGCTTACCTCCGCCGAGTGGATGCTCGGTGTTGAGTTCATCAACTCTATCGGCCAGATCAGCACTCCCATCCGTAACGAGGGACACCGCATTTGCGATGTGATTGGCCTTGAGTCGTAAGTCCGCCCGCGACCGGCTGCAGCCTTCTTAAATCATACTTTTACTAACTAATTTAATTAGTCTCGTTGACGAGATCGCCAACAAGATCATCACTGAGGACGGTCTCTCCCCCACCTCCAACGTCATTCTCGGTCCCTTCTGGTCTCCCAATGCTCCCTTCCGCGCTCTCGGCGACAGCATCATCCAGGACCCTAATCCCAACGGCCGTGTCACCTACATGCACGGTGTTATCAAGGACATGGAAACCGGCAAGCCCATCCAGGGCGCCGTTCTCGACATCTGGCAAGCCTCGGCCAACGGCCAATACGATTTCCAGGACCCCGCCCAGAGCGAGAACAACCTCCGCGGAAAGTTCACCTCGAACGAGAAGGGAGAGTTCTTCTGGTACTGCTACCACCCCACCCCATACTCTCTGCCCACCGATGGCCCCGCCGGTGTTCTCCTCAACCTCATGGACCGCTCCCCCATGCGTCCCGCCCACATCCACTTGATGATCACCCACCCCGACTACGCCACAGTCATCAACCAGCTCTACCCCAGCGACGACCCTCACCTCGAGATCGACTCCGTCTTCGCTGTCAAGGACGACCTCGTTGTAGAGTTCAAGCCCAAGGATAACGACCCCAAGGCTTCCCTCGACATGGAGTACAACGTCACCATGGCCCTCAAGAAGCACCACCCCAACCCCAACTCTGCTCCCCCTGTGTCCTCTTTCGAGCGTCACGCCAAGGCGGCCGCTGGAAAGCTATAGAAAGCCATTGCACCATGGGACGGCGTTTTCTTCTTCTTGTATAGTTAGCATTTCATATACTCACGCATGAATGACATTTCTTCCAATGGACCTTTTCCTCACTTATATCATGTAATATGTTCCCCCATGACTTCGCCTCTCCCTTGCTTGATCTCGTCATGTGGCTCGATTAAACAACGACGATCTCCCACGCGCCACTCACCTAGTCCCTGCATGAAAGTGTAAATCGGGACCCTGACCCCGGATTCTGTTTGTGAAGATCTTGGCAAGAAAAAATTATCTCACCTACATTCACCCATGGAAGGTGGCAGAGAAAAAAAAAAGAAAAAAAAAACTTGATGCTCATAATTACCTACCATCTATTAACCCGGAAGAAAAGAGCCACTAAATAATGCAATACTAACCGCCAAAAACAAAGAAGAAACACTGCCTGAGATGATCAAATACCCAAATTCTGTGCCTCATAATCTTAGGGTAAAGCCGTCCCCTCGCCAGTAATCGCTCATGCGTGCTAGATTCAACAATGCTCCGGCCGTCAAATACACAAATAATATCCGCATGCCGAATAGTCCAAAGGCGATGCCCAACCGCAATCGTAATCCTATCACCTTGCGAAGCCGCCTCATTCAATGAATCCTGAGAAACCCTCTCGGACTGCGTATCCAGCGCATGGTAGCTTCATCCAAAAGCAGTAAATGCGGGTTACGGAGGAGAGCTCTGGATATCGCAATACGATGAAGTTGACCACCCGACAGCTGGGTGCCGTTAGGTCCACATGGTGTGCTCAGACCATTTGGTAGAGAAGAGATCAAGTCCCGTGCATTAGCTGCCCGACAAGCAGTGTCTATCTTTAATCTCTGCTATCCATAGCCTTCTCGTGCGGCCATTGCTGCAATTGGAATAGGGCGCTATGTTCCTTATGACTGCTCGATTTCAGTCAAGAGAGAGTATGTAAATTTAGAAACACTCTTCGAGTGTGAGCCAATCATCTCGGAATTCTTTTTTTTTGGTCTGTGTCTTTGTTCATTTTGTCCCCAAAGCTCGAAGTTATGTCCATTGGTACGGATATTAGAAATTATAAAGTACAAATCCTCATGAACTCATATGACCAGGCAACTCTGCCACAACACTCTTCCCGCCCAATTCAGCTGGCTGCTCCTTTGGATCTGCAGCCAAAAGTTCCGGTATATAAGTCTGCTCAGAGTACGTCGACGACTTGGGTCCTTGTGTATAGCTATGCTGCATGCTTTGTTCCCCATCGGCCTGTATATCTGGTGGCGCCATATATGACCCAGACTGGGTCTGAGCACGACGACGTCTCATACAGAACCACACAATCCCGGCTATCACGCCCAAAGCAACAACCCCCAGTCCAACTCCGACACCAATTCCAATCTTGGTTCCTGAGCTAAGTCCTGAGCCTGATGTCGCGGAAGCGGAAGGTGAAGTCGATGTGAATAAAGATCGCGATAGAGAAACTGTTTGACCTTTCGTCGCATTAGGTTTGTTGCCACAGGCTGATCCCATTGCTCCTAGGTCTGAATAGAGTGTTAGCTATTATTTCGCAAGCAGAATTCGATAACAAAAACTCACAGTTGCCCAACACTTTGGTATTATCTTGCTTCTCCAGACATGTCGCACAGCCACCCTGATACTGGACAAAAGACGATTCGTCTGTCTTACAGTATTGGTACTGAGGCTGCCAGTTCCCATTTTGCTTCCCCCATAATGTGTTCAAGTTCTTTTCGAGGGGACTGCAGCTGCTATTGCACGCGGATAGGGCGGGGTTGGTCTGATGGGTGAAAATGCAAGTTTGAAGTGTATATTTCATGTTGACTAGATATGTTAGTATTTCACTTAAGTTATTGACGTGCCTGATGTGACTCGACGGGAGATAAAAGACTCACACAAGAACCAATAAATATCATTATCTTGCGGGCTTTCATAGGAGGTGCTATTTTCAAGGCATAACAAACACCGCTTCATATGCTTCCCTTGGCTTGTATTGCTGTAATCGGAGTCACCACAAACAATATCTGTTGCGAGTGTCCCACGTGCGCCATCGCAGGTACTGTTACATGAGCCAGATTGTGTCGATCGGAGTGAGTAGACGGATTTCAAGAAAAACTGCCAGCAAAGCAGTAGGAGTATTGTTGAGCGGAACATCTTAGATAGATGTCCTTTCTCAGTGTAAGAAGAATCGAATCCCTAAAGAGGGGAATTAAAAAGCCCCAAAGACTGAGCTTATTTTTGTCGCATGGCTGAGCGTGGAGGCCCAAGACATCGGCTAAGCCTCGAGCCCCAGTGTCACCGCCGATTTTATCTCGAAGTGGCATTTCGATATGCAGCCTCGCGGTCTATGAATGGCTCAATATGTGGTTAGTGGGGGCAGAAATGCGGGTGTGGAGGCTTTTGCTGCTTATAATTGGCCCTATTCGCGGGAAAGGCCTGGGAGATGAGCGTCAGCCTCCTTTTTGTGCTGCGACCAGATTAGGGGTCCAGATCGCAGGGTGATGAGGCTGTTCGGTTTGCAGTCAACTGGGGCTGAAAGTCGCTGAAATATCAGTGGCTTGTGGCAGGAAATGTGAATCCAATGTTTCATGCCATGCCAATCTTCTGACTTAGGGATCTCCATTGACACGAGAACCGTGCATGACACGATGTTGGTGGTCTTACTGTCTATGAGATCTAGAAAGTTGTTAAATGATGCAATAGGACAATATCATCAGATATTTCCCTCACGTATGAGCAATTAAGACGTAGAAAAGCACAATTAAATATGGGTAACATGTGTAGTAGATACAAAAAAGCGGCCAGTTAGACCTTGGCCCTATAGGCATTGACGACCAATCCAGGGAGGAACATGAACAGCATTCAAGCCCCCGCGGGGAAAAATGTATTCTAAATATCTAGAAATCTCTTACAGTAAAATGTATAGACAGAAATAAGGCAAAAGCAAACCCACAAGCGAGCTGAATATACACAAGCTAACACTTCTACCACGAGAAAGCCTCTTCAAACAGATCAACTGTCTTCTCGCCTTGTACATTCCTGACAGCTTCACGCACGCTATCGCCCAGGCCACCAGGACCGCACACGCTAACCGCCATCGCACCAATTTGCTCTGCCTTTTCCTTTTCTAGGACAGATTGGATACATGGCTTGCCATGGTGAATACTAACTGGTACACTTGGCGGGGCGCAATGAGTCCATGGCGTATCTGGTGTGGGAATATATTCTTCCATAGTGTCTTTGTGTGCTGTGACATGGAGGCTGATTGATAGTAGTAGCTTTGGGAATTGGAAATATGAGTGGCCGTTCTGGTTTATTGGACTTGACAGCGAGTCGTGGCCAAGGATCTCTCTCATAAATGTTTGGATCCATGTGAGGTGATCTATTTATGTGGTTATGATTGGTGAATGAGTGCGTGGAGGGGTGGAATTACCTAGGCTGCGAACGATCCAAACCAGACGGACCTTGCGTGTAGCTGTTTTCTGCTCAGCAAAGGTGCCAACGACCTCGTTCAGGTACGACATTGGGTGGGTAATGCCAATGCCGCCAGCGATCAAAAGCAGAGTGCCGTAAGAGTCGAGAGAATGGATACCACCTGGGAAATAATGTTAGCGGATATGTTGTACAACCCCTGGGAAATTTTCAAAAGTGGGTTGATACCAAATGGTCCCTCCGCCAAAGCCATAGCATTGATCCGTCCCTCGGCGGAGTCCTCCGCCTTTTGAAGAAGTTTCTTCGTGAATCCATCCTGTCCCTTGATAAGGACAGACATGGTAGTAGTCTCCGACCCTCCAATGAGAGCCTTCAGGGAGTCACTTGAGCTGCGCTTCTCGCCCATATTCAGAGAATCTGAACCAGTAGATGTCCATGCAACAGTGAAAGGATGTGATGTCCACAAACCCAAACACGGCAGGTAGAGATACATGTACTGGCCAGGGCGGAAGCGCCAGGCTCGAGAGACAGCGACATCGACACGGGCGACAGACCCAGGCAAGGCTTCAATGGTGGCAGTTGTGGGTTGTCTGCCAATGTTTCTCCAGAGTAGAATACCGAGTCGACCTGCGCGATCGAGACCCCATAGGATTAATGTACCTAGAAGCACTTGCTGTTGCAATAGGTTCTGCAGATGATACCAGAGGGCAACGAAGGACATGACTGCCAAGGCAATATGCAGGTGAAGGAATAGTTCGTAGAATGAATGTCGGACCGGCGACAGTGATTGAACGACAATGAAAATGAATCCAAGAACGGCCTGTATGAACATGTGTTAGATATATTTCTTGCGATGATAGGTTTGTCGGAATACATACCACAAGGCCACAGAAGTAGAGGCGCTGTTGCCAGACAGCATAGAGGACATATTCCGTACCGTCTGAGTTTGATATTAGTGCTTACTTCAGTCATGTAATTTCGGTCCACTCACGCATATAGGCTTGGTTAGCCAACACTGCACTCATGTGAATCACCGCATTGGCAGCGATCACACGTCCTACCCAGCGATGCATATAGTTGAAGCCATCAAATGAGATACCAAGCAGCTGAATCAGTGGATTATTCCGCCCAGCACTCAGGACCAGACCCGGTGTATTCATGACAGCCAGATGGCCTGCAGAATACTTGAGCTGGAACATCTTCTGGGAGTAATCACTGATCCACCAATCAACTGTCACAATAATGAAAATGATGTTCAAGCCAAGGTATATCAAAAGGCAAATCACTTCCAGTCGCAGTGGAAGCGATCCCATGTGGAGTCTGAGGAAGCGGAACTCGCGACTATGACGATTACCCCATAGCGGAGCGTATAGTACATGCTTCTTCAGGGAGGCGTTGAAGCGATTTGTCCGTGACACCTGTATTTGGTCGGTTCCTGCCCGTGCCTCTTTCGAACGTTGACGGTGTCGAATGCGAATGGCGGTTTTCCAGGCGAACAAGATGGCGACGAGTCCACCGGCGACGAATAGAGGAACCGCAATCGTAGGGTTCATGGGCGCCTCCCCGTGACCATTTCCTTTCAGTTCTACACCCATTGTGCCATTCGAAGAGGCAGGTGGAGCTTGAGCTGCAATGCTCTGGTATGGATACTGTCGCAACCACGTACAGCGTGGAGTATCCGGCGACTCCTTGAAGAACTCCAGGCCAGGGGAGGAGAGGGGAAGAGGAGCACAAGGTTTTTAACGAATTGATGCTATAAATGGGGTTGAGGTCGCGTGGGAAAGAAAGTACGTTCAAATCATGGCGTTGTATTGGAATTTCCAGGACTGACGTACGTGGATGCCGTCATTGACCCCTGCAAGGTGCAAGTCTATTCTTGTAGAGGCTAATGAAAGCATCTTCGCATTTTGGACAAAGCAGGGACACACGACCCGTGTGGGTGAGTGTAACGCCGAATTGGGAAGGGTAGATAATGGCACCTATTTAGGTTCTTCGGGAAGGAGGAGATGCGCGCGGTAACCAGGAATTCTAGGTCTTCGAGAACTGCCCTGTCATGAACAATCGGAGGGGGCTGCGTAATTCAGGCGCTAATCATGACATTTGCGGGTTGGAGAAAGGTATAGGGTCTAGACGCCGTTGTTCTTCAATCCGAAAACGGAATGTTGTTAGCCGCCCTGCCGCATTCCTCCCACTTTCGGTCGAGGGGTAATATGAACATCAAGAAAACAGGAATATCTTTTTGATCGTATTTTCTGCAATGTATCGCTTTCTTTTCCAGGTGATCTTGTCCAGCAATTGTGTGAGGGTCCGATATCCCGACGTCATTTCTTAGAAGTCTTGATGAGGGCTCAGGCCGGATCTCCGGTTCACTGGGACGCAACTGCAACGCTATAAACAATGGTCAAGTTCGAGAAAGTGGAGACTGCAGCGTAGCAGATATGACGCCATGGTACTTAGCAGCAAATCCCGTCGAACTTTTGAGTGCGATTACCTCTATGATTTGACGATCCAGCCACAGTTGAATCCGGGCAGGGGCCCGTGTGTATAGATGTCACAGATGCCATTGCGACCATTACCAAACGACTTGTCTCACTTTAGATCAGGCAATCTAGGCCAACCTGGCTGATTTTTCGTCACGCGCACTACCCCGTTGCGCTTCACGAAATGCCCGAAGCAGCGTGAGAGCCAAAGCAGGGCAACGGGGCTGGTTCTTCTTGACAGATGCACCATAAGACCGCCGAGACAAATCGACAGATAGTCCCACTGACTCGTCACAGGTCCCAGGGGAATAGCGTCATGGTAACCTCCAAGCATAATGTTCTAGACTCGCCGCAGAGCATCCTGGAGTAGGACCTCATCAAGTAAATGTTGCAAGGCACAGGTTCTCGTCACACTAGGGTCTTGTTCATCAGGAAGGAGCGGGACAGTGATGTCAGGATTTCCAGGGCCAGGACCATGAGATAACTCTGTGACAAAAAAGCCGGATGCTGTTCTTGTCGAGCCATTCGGGGTCTCTCGGACACCGCCCAAGTTGAGAGTGGAAAAGGAGTTTCACGGGATACTCAGCCCCGGATGCAAATTTGGTCCAAATTTGCTGAAGATCATAGCATTTGAGTCAAAGCATTAATAGGAAGTTCATAAAGACTTTGCCATTGGTAAATCTGCCGCCCTGCCTGACCCGTGGAATGATGATGCCGGTGAACACTGCCAAAATCGAAGTAAGCCATTCAGGAACTCCCAGGTACACAAAAGGCAGATATTCCCGAGCAAATAGAATGTCAGTCGAGGGTCATAGTAAATGATGCTGGAAAAGCCGTCAAAGTTCCTGGACTACTGCCGAGACGAACGTATATTTCACCAGCTCCAGTAAATGACACACCCAAAGTATCTTGGAGTAAAGCCTGGCCATTCCCCGAGTCAAACTGACTGTGTGGCTACAAGGCATACCGCGATGCAAGGGAATCTGTCCCCATAGAATATCGTATGAATCGCATTGAGAAAGGATAAGCTCTTGTCCTGTCTTGCCATCCATGTATTGTCTCGTTCTCATATATCCGTATGTAGTGTCGGGCGTGCTCGCCAGTGCCACCAGTCATACCAGGCCAGCCAAGCTCATATCAACGATAAGCACATTAAACAGGGCCGCAGTCGAACCCGAGGGGATCTTTGGATGGGGGTTGAGCAACATGATGTCAAAGGATTGTGGAGTTGAGATTCCGAGGAATCATGCCCGACTAGCACGAAAAAGAAAGAAAAAGTAAATTTCACTAACAATTGAATCGGCGTATTCGGATTTCTTCCCTTGTCGCCGTCACTGACCATCCCTTCACAATGAATCTAGTCCTCGTTTTCTTTGTTCGGGCCAACGAACATCAGGCCCCTGGCGACCAAGCAGCAGGAGACCGTCTCCGCAACGCCTTAAGACCAATCGTTAGACAATACGACCTGGTCTGGGGCATTCACCGCGCTACGCTCCGAGTTCGCACCTTCATACAATGGGCCAATGCATCTCTGGAGCCCTCTGAGTGATCATCTGAGAGTAGCATAATATGTTCGCCCGGTGGCTTTCACTGTTATGCTTGTCCCTGCTCATCTGGGTATGGGGCGAGGGCCATTCCAATCATCAAGACCTTTGAGCTTTAGTAGGAGTTCGCTCTATTATCATATTCTGCTTCATGTGGTTGTTTGTGCTTTCGAAAAAGGAGGGAATCAACACATGACGTTGAGTTAGTTGGAAAAGCTTAGTGACGTGCTTTGGTCTGCGCCAAGGCATATACAATCTAGGTAGCGAGATGAACTTAACCAAGTATTCAAGAATGTTGTTTCGCAGACTTCATAAAAAGCCTAGATAATATTCTATTTAACTAACGCTTATTTAGAAAACGCCATTCCATGATTCCAATTCCTATACCAATCCATCTCTCCTCTTTTCCGTATGATAAAACCCAAAGTACCCAAACCATAAACCAAATAGAAATACAAAACCAAGACCAAAACCAAAAACGCCAGATTCATTATTAGAGCGGCATAGCAGATCAAAGAAGAACATCTTACGCAGTGACCTCTTGCACAGTAACAGGGGCCTGAGCGTGGCCCTGGGCCTGGGGGATATAATGCAATTCCTCCTCAACAGAAAGGCTGCCGTAACCCGTGTCATTGCTAGCAGATCGCTCGCGACGAAGCGGCTTGCCAACAGGGGAGGCGGACATATCTTGGTCGGCGTCACTTTGAGAGGACTCATTAGAGCCGGCCCTGCGACGGCGCTGCTTGCGTCTTTTTGAGCGGTTCTTGTCCGGTGCTGTGTGGACATAATCGTCGACGTTTATACCTGCATTCTGGCAAATTGCTGTGCAGGAATTGACGACTACCTCGACGAGAGTAGGTGAGAACCCATAGAAGGCCGGGTTGTAGGCGTTTCGGGCCCAGTAGATGAGTTCGGCGGATACACGGCCGAGGTTTGGGATGTCGCGGGGACAGATGGAGAGCTTGCGGGTTGGGCGGGGTTTTTCTTCGGCTTCGTCGTCGGCGGAGGAGGTTGCTTCTGAGACGGGGGTGGATGGTGAGGATGAATCGGATGACGCGATGTAATCTACATCGGAAGCGAGGAGGTGAAGGAGATGGTAGACTGCTGAGAAGCCGAGGAGGGACAGTTCAACCGGGTCAATCGGTAGCTGGTTGAACCAGTTGATGGCCTTTTGGATGGTGAAGAATTCGGGCAATGAGGTGGAATCGCCATTGGATCGTGCTGTGACGATGGCGGCAATCATAGCACAACGTACCGCGATGGAGATTTCATCGCGAACGGAAACGGGAAGAGAGGAATCTAGGAAGTTGGACGCATGGCTTTGGCTTCCCTTTCTCTTCTCCTTGGGCAGAGTTGCCAGGACTGCACCGACATTTTCGACGCGGTGTTGTTCAAAGAAGACTGCTTTCATCACCAGGGCACGGGTGTATGCCGCAGACAGCCGGGGCGCTACGTCGAGAGACATGCGGATCTTCTCCTTGAAGGCATCGCGGCTTGCCTTGGAGACGGGGCCCTTCTCGCTTGCTTCGAAATAGTTGAGCAGAGCGGTTTGCAGAAGGTGGCTGGACCACCAGGCGGCGAGTGCGTCTTGAGAACATTGAATGGCAGGATCCTCCTCCACAACGTCGAGGAGTACCTCTTCATCACCGGTACCCTCTTGAGTTGGCCGGTTCCAGGTCAAGTTGACTGCACGTTGAATAATTGTATCAATCATAACTTCCTCGCAATCTAACTTGACTAGGGCTGCAAGGTGACTGGGGAGCCGGTCAGGGTGCGTCTCAGGCAAGGCATTGTTAAGGTCACGAGCAACCTCCCACTGGAATCGTGCGAGAGACCGAGCAATGTCGTTGGACATGTGGAATGACCAAGAGCCTGGCTCTCCGACACACCAGAGAAGAACACGGACATGCAAGGCCTTCAAGATCATTCTCATGGGACTGGTAGGGAGAGTGCCAGCAGCAAATATAGTGAGCACGAGGCGGCTCTTGCTAACTTCAGCATCCCCACCAGTGAGTTGTGCATCAATGGCGATGTCCCAAGTTTTCACACGGCCCCTCTCATCCTCCTCGGTAATCCCTGTGGCCCAGGAGTACAGCTTCCAACCCATCATGCAGCGCAACACATACTCGAAGCATCTCGAAGTAACGACATACCACTCCCGGAAGAACCTGTGACGTGGAACGCCGACTCGTTGCATGCTCGTGAGCCAAGCCTGTCGGCGGAAGTTACTGGATGTAAGAGGCGCAATCTGGTTCTCGGAATTCGACTTGGATGGACCACGTTGCGTAACGGGTTGGGCATTGAAGAGGTAGACAAAAACGATGAAAGCACAGCCAACGACCAGCGTTGCTAGGAGGAGGAAATGAGAGAATGCGCGGGCCTGCCACGAGTACGAGAAGTGCTTCAGGTAATATTCCCAGTGTGCCATATTTGGTGGTTGTAAACGGCCCAAAAGGCGCATGGGAATTGCAAAGAGACCCTTTGACTCGCTCTCGGAGTCATCAGAGCCCATGCCCTCGAGGACCATCAGGCCAGCTAGCGCTCCCAGCATGTATTTGTTTGGCATTCTTG